CGCTACTAGACGTCCAGCCAACCTGGTCCTGTCGCGGTGCAGCAGCAGCCAGGCCTGCAGCTATGGGCCCGGTGCCTACCCCCCTCCCCCTCTTTCCCCCAGTCGCCCCCGGCACAAGTACGTTGCTCAATTTTCGTAATCCCAACCCCAACATGTGCTCTGAATGCCCGCGCAGCCAGCCGCCTTGGCTGGGCGTAGGGAATGCACCGGGGGTGAGGGGGGAGGGAGGGGAGCCAGACGCACGTATACCGCCCTGTAATTAAATTAGGCTCAGGTCGCCCATCTCCGCCCGGACCCACCGGCCGTGCCTCCGTCTCGTCCAGCCGCAGCTCAACACACTCACTTGGAAATCACAACCTCCGGCTGGCTGCGCGTTAGTGGTGCGCGCCGCTCTTGGTCTCTTTTTATCGGGCATTACGGCGCTCGCTGCGCAAGCCGGCGGCCGCCACCTGAGCGGAGCGGAGCGGAGGGCGCCCCGACACCCTCCGCTGCTCCGTTTACCGCGCGTCTCCAACCCGTCCAGCTCGAGGAAAAGTAAGTGTGAGGGGTCCATCAGGCGGGGTCGGTCCGTAAACCGTCACCGTTCGTTTGCACAGCAGCCGACTAGACTACAGTAAAGCGGTAACGCACCCACCTTGGCAAATCACGGTAAAGAAGGTGTAAAAGTTTTACCGATTATGGCGAAAAGACTTACGCCCAATTACTATTACTGCCGCGTTAATGCATTTCCACTAAATTTTTGTTTACTGGTGGACAACATTTTTCTCCTCCCGTGCGCGCACTCAATGAACTGCTTGATGCAGCGCCCGCCATACATAATGTATCCGGGCCCGCCGGGTCTTCTCCGAACTGTGCGCGCCAAGTCTCAATATTGTGAAAAGACGCGGCGAGAAAAATGAAGACGCTGCGCTGAGCGCAGTGGGCGTCTATATCCGGATTTACTCTCCCTCTCCTCCATCCATCCATCCACTAGCGGACGGGCGACAAGCTGTAAAACATCCTCACACCTAATTCAGCGCCCCCAGGTAAACCCGAGAGGGGAGGGGCAGCAGCGGCAGAGGATAGGTGTCGGATGATACAGCCGCCACGACAAAGGGAACAATGCCGTAAAAACACACCACTACGACAACAACTACAGCTTCATGAAAGAAGCCGCTCTGCTGAGAGCAGGGCAAGCAGCAGGGACTGCCGCGGCGGCACCTTTCCGACACGACAGCCGAGTTGTTGAGTTGTTTGTTGCCGTTGCCATATTGTGACCATGTAGTCCTGCTATCACTGCAGCCACTGCTATCACTGCAAAAATTATAAAGTTATGTTTTGCTTGAATTTTTTGATTGGCGCTCATTGATGTAACGCTGGTGCGAGAACACACATCAGATCAGTGGAGCTCAGTGACGTCTGAGCGGCAGTGCCATACACACAGGCGGCCATCAAATTAAGCAGAGGTGTGTTACCTGCTATTATGGTGGGCCCCTGCCGCAGCTTGGAGGGGGGGGGGGCGTCCGACAGGAAGCGGTAAATGGAGGGGTGTTCTGAGGTATCTTAGGTGCCGATGGTTGATGTATAGGAAAACTTGTAATCGTTCCTGCAACTGCTTTATGAAAAATTCCCAACATTGCGACGGGACCGCGATTTATGCCATCAGGTTGATCGTAGAAAGTATGAGAGGAAGTGCGTAGTACACGAACATCAAATCTGAGCCCCGCCGATGCAAATCGATATGCGAACAGCTGACGTGCCCTTTCGTCCAGTCCGACAGCTCGCGTCACTGTCGCGGACGACGAAGGGGCTTAAGCGTGCAAGGACGGGTGCGCCGCGGTCCCTGTCGTGCTGGAGGAGGGCACGGCCGAGGAGCGCCTGGAGGGAGGAGGGGGGCAGGAGAGGGGCAGGAGGAGCCCGGAGGGGGAGGAACGGGAAGGATATGAAGGAGAGGCGAGGCGAGCCGGAGCCGGCCGACAAAGACTTTGTGCGGGGGGCCCGGGCCGCGCGGAGCCGGCAGCCGGCGCAGAACGGAGCGGGGCCCCGGAGGAGCAGGACGGCCGCCGGACGACCGCTCAGTCTTAGTAGTGTTGTCGTAGTAGTTCCACCCCGCGACCAGGGCGCTCGGTCCGTGACCAGCCGCGGCGCCGACGGTGACCCGCGTCTGTGCGACGAGCAGCAGCCAGTGACCAGGACTCGCCGCAGCGGCAACCAGTGGATTACGCGTGTGCAAGTGCAGCGAGGACCTCGGCGAGGACTCCCCCGCGGAGTATGGGATGCGGCGCCCCCGCCGGGACCCCGTCGTGAGGCGGCGGCGGTGGCGGCGACCCCGCGAACGCTGCGGGGCGGCAGCGGCTCGGAGGCGGACGCGTGACGGCCAACGAGGATGCGGATAGCGATGTGGCCGACCGGGACCGGGCGGAGCAGGGCAGCCGCCGCAAGCTCCGCGTCGTGGAGGTGCTTCGCCCTGGCCGCGGCACTCCTCGTCGCGCAGGTGCTGCCGCCCGCCGGGGCCATCGCTTGGCTGTAAGTATATACACACAACCGCCAACACAAGGCTTGTGGGGGGGCTCCCCCCAGGGTGGGTCCTCGACGAAGGACGGCGACGGGCGGTTTGCAGCGGACTGTTCAATAGAGTATGAATTGGACGCAATAACCGGGGAGTTTTGAACGAACTAAATCCTCAGGATATGCGGGGGGAGGGGGGTGTTTTCAAAACAGCGCTCGTGGTCAGAAAAAAATCTTCCTTGTTGGCCGCTGCCGAACGAGACCCGCGGCGATCGTGTGAGCAGGGGGCCTAAGCTGATTATAAAGCAAGCTTTCTTTTTACTGCGGATGGGCCCAACAGGACAGCCAGCAGTGGAGGAGGGGGTTGGGGCTCAGGGGCTGCCGGTGGCTGCCGGTGGCTGCCGGTGGCTGCCGGTAGCCGCCTCGTGTCACACAAGCGGGGCGTATGTCACAGATAGCCGTATAAATCGGTCTAAGCGGATGCGGCAAGGCGTATGTTGTCCGGCCGCCATAAGCCGCCCGGCAGCCCGTCAGACAATGCTCACGCCGAGGGGCACGCTCCGCACGCTCGCACCATTCATATCGACAATAAGACGCCCCGTGATGATTGGTCCAGCAACAAGCAGCGTAGACCCGGGGGCACTGGCGTCCCCACCCTCTGTACAC